GAGGGAAAGCTTTGATAGACAAAGGAAAAAGAAAAAGGTAGGGGAAAAAGTTATCCTGTTTTCATCCATCTCACCTGCATAATTCGCTGTGATAAATCAGTTGAAGCTGAGAGGTCAAAAGTAGAGTTTGTGATAAAACTAGGAGCAGAATCATTGGATTTGGCTTCTCAGTTGCAGAAGGCAGAGAAACAATAAATACAGAAAGATACAGCAGGTAAAGGTAATAGTTAAATATAGTAAAAATGTGTTTCTGAATAAAGGCAAAAAATGAAATATTTTCACAGCAAAACATTTGATGAAAAAATCCTCAAAATGTAAATAAATTCATGGGAAAAGTCTCATTTTTCTCTCACCAAGATAAATTCTTATGGTAAAAAAAAAAGCAACAAATGTGTGTATTGTGGGGAAAAAAAAGTTGATAATGTTTTTGGCTGTTCATGTGTTAATAAAAAATTTATTTTCTAAGACCAAAACAATATAATTAATTATTTTTTTTTTACCTTTATCACAGCTGTCCCCCGTATATCCGCTGCTGCATTCGCAATATGGTTTCCCAAGTCCTGAAAGCCTGCATTTGCCATGTTTACACCTGATGGATTGGCAGGGGTTAAACAGCATTTCCTCTTCATCACAGAGGACTCCCCCATGTCCCTGCAGGCATTTACAACTGTATGAAAACGCATTGATCGGCAAGCAGGTACCATGCACACATCTACAGGGGAAACAAGCCCAAGAGAATAAAAATAAATTATTCATCAAAGTTCAGGCTAAGCAACATTAACTACAAATACTTCGGACTGTATTCAGAAGAAATTGCTTTTGTTTCAAATGGACTTTTTCAGTGAGATGCAGTGAAGTGGTTTATAATTGGTATGTAGGTTTACACAAAACAAGCTGCAGTACAGAACTCTTATCTCACCAGAAAACAGCCACTGTAGATGTGTTATGGAAGACTTTTACAGGCCACAGCTATTAAAACCAAAATTTCCTGTCTACCTAAATTTTCAGCATGCTTTTGAGAAGAACACAGCAAAATCAAGCCCAAATGTAATCCACTATAATTAAGTAGAGAAAAAGAATACTCACCTGAAATTCTGGTTCTTGGATCATTTAAAAAACCCACATTGTCACTCGTGAAGTATGGGGCTCCCAGCACAAAGACAGGTCAGGCACTTCCTAACTGAATCTTTTCTGACCCAAGCAATGGCAGTTTCAAAGCTGAACACATGCTCCCCCTTCAAATATATTAGTCTGCTTTGCCAACTGCCAGTAACGTGGTCATATAATGTACGAGGCAGATCTTTACTTCACTGAAAGGCAACAGCATTCATCTAGTAGTCATGCAAAAACTCGCACTAGATGAGATTGCATATTATCAAGTCTCATTCAAGTAATTAAAGTAGCTACTCTCTCAGTTGAGCTTTGGTAAACACTTGTGGCAGGCTCAAATCTTGTTGTTAGACAGAAAAGGCTGCATCTGCTAAGTTCTGATATACTGTAGTATGGGAACACATAGCTGGTCTTACTTCTTGAGAGAGAGGTGGTGTTTCCCAAAAAAAAGGATGTTTAATTACCTCTTCCTAGCTGTAAGCTGAAGATAAGGGGAACTCATCTTCTGAAAACATCACCAATGACTTGGAATAAAATCACTTCCTTTTTTTCATTTGGTGGCACAGGGTCAATAACTTTCTTCCTAGAAATAATGTTATTTTCTTTAACTGTCGTCTTGATACACAAGTTTTCTATCTACATACTGTTTCTTAGGGAGACCACAGTGAAGATTCTTCTGTAGAGAGGAGTGCAATCCTGACGTTCAAGGTAATACCACCCCCCCGCCATAATGTTTCTCCTCTCTAATGTTTTTCCTCTCTGTATTGTAAGATCCCTGAGCCCACAACCTCCTTAGTAGGTTGCGGCAGCCCCCTAAATAAATATATAAATAAATAAATTAAAAGCTTTAGATTAAAAAAAAAAAATATATCTCATTTGCTCTAAAATAAAATCCTTTGTTTCAATTTCAAGATGGTAGAAATTCCTATAAAATTGCATTTCATAGGAAGAGTTCTGTTAAGAATAATGTCTCTTTGAAATTTTTTAGGTAACAGTCTGTATTTCTGGAAACTTTTTGCTTTGTACCCTACTCCTTCAGTACAGTAAGAAATTTGTTACAATTGAAAAGAACGCATAACACTTTTTAACTTTGACAAACTTGCATTAACTATTTAAAACTGTTTAATTTTATAAACATCAACAAGTTCTATTCATCAATGAAATCTATGTTACAATTCTCCATCTGTACCCTTAATTCTGTGCAAGTTATTTAGGCATGGTGTAACTTGGAGGAAAAAGAGTATGGGAAGCCAGTCTCATCACAGGATATTTAAATGGAAGGCACAACACATAGCCTCCATTCACATATCCAATTTGGGATTAAAAATTGCAAATATAAAACTTAACTAATAGCTTAAGCACCTCCAACTTCCCTATTATGCAAGAGTCTACTTTTGAAGCAGCTTTGTTCCCTAAAAAATTCCAAATTGTTCCTGTGGTTGAAGTCTCATATTCCAAGACTGTTAGATTAAGCAACTCAAAATTGAAGGCTTAGACAGTATCACAGGGCAGATAGCTTTTGTTTAGTTTTCATTATGTTCAGCATTTGATCTGTTCACCATTTACGAAACAACCACTTTTAGGAGATCCGATTTATGAAATTACTCAGGTGACACTGACATCATGTCATATTATATACAGGATGTTTTAGATATCAAAGCGATCTGTGTCAGGATCTTTGGTAAAGTTCCACTTGACTTAGAAGATGATTAAATCTTAGCTAATGCCAATTCTCCTACTTTTGCTTCCACCTGTTCTTTGAAGCCCTAAATTTCATCTTCAGACAGTACTGAAAGGAACATCAAGCTAAGTGCAAACTCTTGGGCACAGTTTCATCTTATCTAATTTTAGATACCTGTGTCAGGCACTCAAGTTAGATATATAATTGCCATAAGCTCCCCACACGGTCATGGAGAGAAACGAGCTTATCCAGAGGGTGATTAGACCATTTGAGGTCTAATTTAGTCCTTCAAAATGTGTTTATTCCTTTACTGACTATAGGCAAACTTTGGTCACTATGTTCCTAAGTCAAGCACCGAGATTTAGGCAAAATAAATCTAAGCTTTAAGCCTTTTCATGGTGTGCAGAGATCTCTAAAAGCTCCCCTATGTTTTTGAAACAGAGATCACAGTGACAAGTCTGTTTCTCAGATAAAGTGGAATGTTATACTGTATTAGACAGACCAAATGCATCTATTCAATAGATGGGATTTGGAGATGAATCAAGAAATACAGAATCAAAATCCCCAGGAGCTAAAGAACAACAAAACTCTCCTTCACTCCAAATAAACAATTTTGGTTTGGCTTTCTGTCCTAAAAGCTCACAGCACTGTATAAAGCTGAAACAAAACCAATACTTTCAAGAGCTAAGAAAATACTAATGATGTGTTCACTTCATTCTATCTTTGATACTGCCTGTATCTGATACTTGCCAAGTTTTGTAATTTACTGCAAAAAGCACTCAGTTTGGGTGCTGATGTATATAGTTATAACAACCTATACAAAATCTAATTTTTCAAGGACAGGTCAAAGAAATTCTTTGGCTTTTCTTAATATAGAACTTTGTGGTTACATTTCCATGGTTTTTTTTGACTCCTCAAGAACAAAATGGATGTGATAGACATCACATTTATATTTTTTAACTTGCTACGACTTCCTTTCTTTATCTCTTAAGTTACTGTGAAACAGGACAGGGTAAGAAAAAGACCCATAAACAATGAAATGCTATAATGATATGCCTCAAAAATTCACTGCTGTAGCTTTGGGAAGGGTTCAAAACAATAGTACTGAGAGTCCATAACCAATGTAAAAAATACTAACTGCATTGTAAAGCATACTAACTGGTGTATAATGCTTTAAGCGGTCAGACTCTCCACACACACTATGTGAAAAGATCATTTAAACATCATTTTATAAGGGAACTGAAAATTATCTTATTAGAATCTCTTAGCAAACTCAGGCGACTGGTCCTTAAAAGTCAAAAGTTATATAGGCCAGAGCACTGAAAAAGCAGCAGCCAAAAGATCCAAGCAGGCTTACTTTACTCTACAAAAAAAATCCCAAAACAAACAAAGAAACAAAGAAACCAAACCAAACCAAACCCAAAAGATGTTTGCCAAACTGTAGTAATGACAGTGGTAAGGATAAACAGAATGACATCTTGCTGCCCATGACCAATAAATCATGAAGAACTTTGCACTTCTGAAGTTTCTGATCTTCTTGTGCTGGGAGACCATGAGCTAAAAAAAGTGAATCTGTCTCTATAGTAAATTTAGAAGATGAATATGCATAGATATCAATAGTCTCATATACACATATATACATATCTTTTGCTCTCTCTCTACAAATATATCTACAAAACCCTCTCTATAAACATATATAAAATGTCCAATCTAAAATGTTCTAGTCAAAACAGCAAAAAGGATTAACACACACAGACTTAAACAGAAGTTTACCATGAAGGTAGAAATCTATTTTCCTGCTAAAAGTTGTGGTACTGTGAAAATATAAAAATATTATATCTATTGTATCAAGTTTTTAAAACACATTAAAGAATAATAATACTCATTGTATTTCCTCATTCTATACAGTTATAAATAAGCAAATAGATATTTTTTTTTTCATTTGCAACTTCTAAATGTTTTTTTGTACCAAGTGTCATACCAACACTTGCATCAGTGTAACTGATTACAGAAGAAGCCCGTACAGAAGTAAGTAAGAGCACTTCCCAGGCTTTAGGCAGAACTTCAGTGAGGTGTGTGTATCTGCTCCCCTGAACTGAGGACTTTTCCTCATTAAGTTTATGGAAAGATATACTATAACCTGGATGCTGTTTTCACTTTTACATGCCCAGGATATTTTGTTTCTTGCTGAAAAAAATATGAACTTTTATGAAAAAAATGCACATAACAGGAGACATATGCATATTATATTACTGTTCTGTCTTGAGGAAGGACATACTTATTTCCAAGACATGGGTCATTAGTTTGTTGATCACAGAGGGGTCCAGTCCATCCTCCTTCGCACTCACAGGAAAAGCCTGACTGGCTGGTAGCATGGCATGTTCCATGCACACAGACTTTCTTATGGCAAGGTTCGCAACCTGGCAGAATTCCCACTTGCAGTGGCACATTTCTGAAGTCCTGGAGTTCGCTGTTGATATATAGATTACGGATGCAACCATGGAAGCTCGTGCCGTTCTGTCCTGGAGACTGGCGTAAAGCTGCTATGTTATTTTTCACAGGCATGCCTAGGAAATTAATAATAGCAAATAATCAATGTAATCTTTGGTACAATTTTCTGTACCATTTTCTCTATTTTTTAAACTTTTAAAAAGAAATATTTCTTCCTAATTAATTTCTTAGCTATTCAGCCTATAACCATGACCAGTGATCTAGTATTTGGAAATTGTCCTGGTTGTCAAGCATGCATGTAAACTAGCTCCAAACCCGTAAGTCTCTAGGTCCAACTAAAGAGGTGTATATAGGACTTCATAGAGGAAGCCCATAACTTCATACAGGAAGCTGTGAAAAGGTTTAGTTGCCTGTCTGGTTTTGATCTAGTGTAATTAAGTCCAGGATAGTACAGAGTTTCTGAATCTTGGAAAAAAAACAGTTGCTGAAATTTAGCAGCTGATACATGATTTTTTGTAAACTGCTAAGATACTCAAATCCAGAAGAATTTAGTAGGACCAGCTCATCAATTTGGAGCTGGCATACACATTTCAAATGTGAAATTTTGCTAGTGAAAATTCTTGGAAAGTAAAGCTCAACAGGATGAGGTTACATTACTTTCAAAAATAGTTTTGTTTAGCATGCCGCAAAAGAAGATTAATAAACAAGCCACTCATAGTTTGCCATTACAGTATAAAACAAAGATAGCCAATAATAACAATAATTCAACATCAAAATACTTATGTGTAGATATTTCTAGATAGTGCAAATGCCCCTAATGTTGACCATTTTCAGAATAATTCCTCTATTGTAGTCTGTAATTGTTATAGGTGTAATTAGAGCGGTACGTATATGTGATGCAGTTATCCTGTTGTGATCAGTTAATCACTTAAGACTAATTCAGAAGGAACATTACTATTAAACATTGTTTCCTTGTAAAAATGAAGTTTCTCCTACTCCTACTCCCTGCTTTTTTTTTTTTTTTTTTAACTTATTGCCAATGTACTGGCCTATGTTAGTTAGTCCTTAAGATATTACATTCAAATAATAAATACACAAATGTCTGAATACCTCCTGAGACTAATAAGTGAAGGAAATCAGAGTGTACTGAGCATTAGAAAAGGATCTGTTTACCTGAAAATAAATATGCTTATTAGCTGTACAGGTTTATTCCTAGGCAAAATTAACAATTTTCATTCTGGTACTTAGATAACCACAGAAAGAGGTAATGTTCTGCACAGTTGCTCCTTAACCATGTAAACTGATACTTCTAAAGGTTTTATTTAGTTACCCTGAACAGTTAAGAGTAATGCAGAAGGGCTATGCAACCTAATGAAGCAGACCTGCCTTTCATGAAGAGGTTATTGTAATATCATTTGTGCTAAGCTTCAGTGATGATAGAAATAACAATATTGCATTCATACTGCTGAAGAGCATAATCTTCTTTGATCTTATCAGTTAAGTAAAATAGGCTTGTGACTATTATATTAAAGGACTCAGACCGCAAACAAGCATTAGTTGTCATTTCCTCAAAACTAATCGCCATATTCTCAAAATCCAGAGACAAGGCAGAGTCATCAACGCCTCTTCACCCTGATGTCTCCCTTGAAAGCAACACTCAGCAAATGTTTAGGCATATGGCTTGAGGTATCTAATAGCATAATAGATGCACTGAATTTATCCGTTGTAAAAATAAAAGCTGCATAAAACTAGGTACACCAATGCAATGCTAAACTAAATGTTATACTTGTAAGTGTCAGGAAATTTAGATATGGTTTCTGGGAACCATATAAGCATGCATGACACCAGATAATATGAGGTATATCACATGTGATTCACAGAATTTTTTTGCTATAATCTCTAATATAGAAAACATTTGGAAACACAATGCAAACATATACACAGGCTTTTAGCCTATACATTTTTTGCTTCTTCTGGCAAGTTACCAAGTGTTAGAAGGCCAAAGTGTGTGCAAAAGCTGCTCATATTCTTTAGCAATATTTCTTAGATATTTTTTAGATAAAGGTTCTTTGTCAGTTAGGAAAGAACTGCCATAGAAATGATGCAGACAAATATTTTGGCTCTATTTTGGAAAGGTAAGAAAGTAGTTCTGACCCTCCCTTTAAGCTTTTGGTCACTGAACCTGACTACAGGTAAATTACCAAATTACTGCTCAAGGAGGCAAATGATAATACCCCTATTAAATAACAGTCATACAATAAAACTGTCAGAACGAGTATCTCATTCTAGAAGCTGCTAGAGCAGAGCAGGGACAAATAAAAAGCAGCTGATGCCCTACCTGTCTCAGAAATAGGGACTTCCATGAAATAAGGTGCCACTCTCAAATAGTAAAATATGCTCTGATTTCTGAGAGAAGAATGTGAAGTATCAGTAAAGTCTGTGACCTCTTTGAAGAGTTTTTGAGAAGAAACAGATTGTCCCTTAAGACATTTTATAAAAAATCATGGGCTTTCAATATGATTTACTGAAATCTGTTATAGAAAGACTGAAAAATATCTAGCATGTGTGTTCTGACCACACAAGAGAGCCATACTGTTGGAAAAAGGTCAAAAAAAAGAAGAGTATAAATTGATTAGCACACTTTCTGTAAAAGTAAAGTTAAATTACCCCTTCCAAACCAACCCAAATATTGTGACCCAAGAATAACTTTGTTAAAAAAAAAGGGGGGGGCGTGGGGGAGAGAGAGAGAGAACACCATACAAGGGCTTGCTGTCAAGTCTGAATTTCATCCTGCCAGCTGAGGTGATGCTTACCAGAAATGCCATTTTAGCAGGAAGGTGATAAGAGTAAGTGTAAGCTACATGATGATATAGGTGTTAAACTAAGGCTTTGGCAAAGATAAAAATACTGCATAAAATCCTAGTGAGAATTTGAGTTCTTAACTGATGGAAATGTGTGATCAAATTCTTTAAAAATTCTAGATACAGTTGGATAAGAAAAAATTGAATGAATCTCAAAAAGATGGGTAATATAATGATACAAGACTGAAAGTTAACTGTCTCAAGAATTTTAAAGATCATAAATAGATAAACATAGATAAAGAACAGAAAAGTTTAAGAGTTGAATATCAACCTACTGGGGTTTTTTTGCTTTATTTTGTAATAATGTGCTTCTAATAATAGTTCTCGTTCTATTTTGGACCAACATTTTCTATGATAGTGGAACGAATTGTTTGCTTGGAGCCTGAATGTGAAGAATAGAAATAGAGGGAACACAGGACTTCTCTAAAGGATAAACATTAGGATGAGAAAGACTCCTGCTCTTAGAAATCAAAGTGCTGAAGGAAAAGATTATTTCAGAAAATTATTTCTTCTGATACTTCAAAATGGTGATGCAGATTAGTATAATTCTCCTAATGGAGACACAGATTTGCAAGGTGAAGACGCAAGGAGAACCATATGTCACAAATCAACAAGTAAGTGTTAGCACTGCACAGAATAAATGTTTATAGTTGGCAGTCTAGTCTCATTTCATCAAAAGGTGCCTGTAACAGACAGGGTGATCATTCTGCGCTAAGCTCAGTCTTCATGAAGTTGCAAAATTGGCCTTAGCAGTCATTAAATAACAAACTGATGTTGACAAAACAAGTAAGCAAGCACACGGTGTCTTAGTAGAATCTAGGACCGTCTCTCCCTTCCAAAAAATGTGGCATAGGACACTATGGAAACAACAGAAGTGATACACATGAAAAAATGTAGATGTGCTTCCACAAGGCAATCTTCCTTTAAAGATTCATGATATGAAGCATTTTAAAGGCAGATCATACATTTGACAATTTTAATTCTTTTCTCTGCTAGTATGGGGAGTGATGACTAATGTTGAATTCTATCTTGTACTTCTTCCCATCTTAGATGGAAGGAGGCAATGACAAAATCCGAAAAGATTTGACAAAAAAGCTGAAGTGTTTCCAAGGGAAGAATGGGGACTTTCAGGGACAAAAGTGAACTTACCCTGTATTACTTGTAAATGAGGCACCTGTTATACTAGTTTTATAGGAGAAATAGACTATTCTTGATCCGTATCAAAGTAGCTTCCTGTTTTTCTTTTCCATTAGAGATAAATCTAAGCAACCACCCTGAGCTTTTCTGTATATTTAGAAAGTGAATAAATAGTACCTTTTCTAGAGAAAATAGGCATCTCACAAATGTACTACTGGTAGTATAATTTTTTGCAAGGAGGCAAGATGCTCAAGTCTAGACAGAAAACAGTTCTTAAGAATTAGACAAAAAGAAAAAGAAAGTAGGTATTCTTTTTACAGAAAGAACATACCAGAAGGAGACTCCTTACATGCCTCCTATAAGAGTGTAAGGTTAAACTAAGTAGAAGATGAAGAATGCAGGAAGATCAGCAGTATTTGAAAACCATGCTGAATCTCTGATAACTAAGAACTTAGACTTGCTACCAAGGACAGTAAGAAGGCACAAAGTGGTGGCTGAAATTTCTGACTCTTTTACCTAGATTACGCAGGTCCATCAGAAATTCAGTAGAAACTGCTGGCTAAAACAGTGGGCTTGAATCCGTAGTTCTACAGAGTAAATTGCAGCAAATGATCAAAAATGTTTCCAATAGTTTACCACCTATTACCAGTTTTACTAAAACGAGTAATTCTTTCTTCTCAAAATAAAAAAAAAAAAACAACAACAAACCCTGCCACATACTGTGAGGCAACTGTCCAGTTGGTTCCCTTCTTACCTAATGTCATAACTCCTATTAACCCTAAGCAATAAGATCTCCAGACATAAATTATACTTCATGGCTTTATACCTTGCTATCATTTCCTGCAGATACCTGTACAATGAAATAGAATCATAGAATCATAGAATCATTATGGTTGGAAGAGACCTCAAAGATCATCAAATCCAACCGTATACCTGATGCCACCATGTCCACTAAACCATGTCTTGAAGCACCACATCTAAACGTTTTTTGAATACCTCCAGGGATGGTGACTCCACCACCTCCCTGGGGAGCCTGTTCCAATGCCTAACAACTCTAACAGTGAAGAAGTTCTTTCTAATGTTGAGCCTGAACCTCCCCTGGTGAAACTTGAGACCATTTCCTCTCGTCCTATTACTAATTACCGGGGAGAAGAGCCCAACCCCCACCTCACTACACCCTCCTTTCAGGTAGTTGTAGAGGGCGATCAGGTCTCCCCTCAGCCTCCTCTTCTCCAGACTAAACAACCCCAGCTCCCTCAGCCACTCCTCGTAAGGCTTTTTCTCCAGACTCTTCACCAGCTTTGTTGCCCTTCTCTGAACACGCTCCAGCAGCTCAATGTCCTTCTTGTAGTGAGGGGCCCAAAACTGGACACAGTATTCGAGGTGCGGCCAAATAGAAATGTCAAATGTGACTGAAACAGAATGTTACCATTATACACTTTCTGAATAGGCATTACTGAATCTTCAGGTATCTAATCAATGTTAAACACACTTCTTCAGTATAATAAAAAGCTACATAACAGTAGAAAGTTACAGAATTTTACAGTAAGCATCAAATATCCATACTAATAAAAAGCAACAGGTGCAGTTTGAGGACATATTATTTGTTAAAATTGAAACTATTGAGATTAACTGCTGAAGTTTCATCTTAAGGTGTTAACTCAATGAAGGAGTCTCTTATGAAGTGTTTATTAATGCATGTTACCAGAGTAAATTAGCTATGATACTGTTAGTAAGAAGCAGTAAGATCCTCTTACCTCCTACATACAGTGGAGAATCAAAATTCAGAGTGGATTGCTTGGACAAATTGGTAATTATCTTGGGGCTTCCTCCATCAATAGATAAAGATAGAATCTGATCCATAGCTAGCAGCTCCACAATGTGGAAATTGCCATCATTAATAGTTTCTACACTGTAAAACAAACATTAATATTAATTTTAAACAGTTGGACTGGTTAGAGCATTTCTTGATCTTCTTCCCCTTTAAGAGTTAATACAGCTTCAGAACAGAACTTCTCCAGGAGTGCAATCCCCTGAAAACTAGATTTTAAGCAAGGACATGCATGTATGCTTAACAGCTAATACAATATAATACACTTTCAATAACACTCTATTAATAATATGTATCATAAATTAATAGCCCCTTTTCATCAAAAGTTATTCCTGCCCTCATCAAATAATGAACTGTGTAAATACAGATGATACTCTAAACATCAGTTGAAACACATTTACTAGGCAGGAAGCTGAATGCAAAAAAAAAAAATGGAGTTCTTCTGCAACAATGATCAGAGTGCAGGAAGACCTCTTCTATGAAGAAAGGCTGAGAGAGTTGGGGTTGTTCAGCCTGGAGAAGAGAAGGCTCCAGGGAGACCTTAGAGCAGCCTTCCAGTACCTAAAGGGGCCTGCAAGAAAGCAGGGGAGGGACTTTTTACAAGGACATGTCTTGATAGGACAAGGGACAATGGCTTTAAACTGGAAGAGGGAAGATTTAGATTAGATAGAATCTATAAAGTAAAATAAGACTTAAAGAGGAAATACTTTAATATGAGGGTTGTGAAGGCACCGGAGCAGGTTGCCAGAGAAGTTGTGGATGCCCCATCATTGGAAATGTCCAAGGTCAGGTTGGATGGGGCTTTGCACAACCTAATCTAGTGGAAGATGTCCCTGCCCAGGGGGTAGAACTGGATGATCGTTAAAGGTCCCTTCCAACCTAAACCATTCTATGATTCTAATGTTATTTCTAATTTTATTTGCATGTGTGTGTGTGTCCTACATGTTACATAGTATTGGGTTTACACACTTTGCAAGTATGAAGGCCTGAGTTGACTCCAGCAATATATAAACCTGCTATTTCATGGAATATGGAACTGTATGTAACCTTAGTCCTGCCAGACAAACTCACATCATTGGTCTAGACAGCTTCACTGACACAAGCAATAAAGTAATTTGTTATCTTTATTAGGTACGGTTATTTCTATGTGTTCAGCTTCTGGCTAATACAGTGAATACTGTATTCATTTTTTTTTCTTGCCTGCATATACCATTTCCTTCTGCTTACTAACAAGATATGAACCCACTAGTAGGATGCCCGAAGGGTTTAATGCAGAAAAGATGTGTTTCAAGCATGGTACTTATGCTGTGTAAGGATAAGCCTACACATGGTACTAAGTATAAGAAATGGCTGCCTATGCTTACCAGCCTCAATAGCTACACAGCAAATGTTTAAGTGCAGGGTAACTACTCTGCACTTGAACACACTTTAAGTATATCAGAGAAGGAAGAATATTATTACTCAAATCTGGGAGTAAATATATCATTGTACTTACACTACTTCTAGCCCATTCTCCATTGGAGAATTAAGAGCTGAATGTATGGCTGCATGGAAGTTATGACAATGAGCTGTAGTACAGAGACCAGAAATTATAACCATTCCCATGAGAGCCTTTATTTGCTTCAGGGCACCATCAAATAAGTGAGCTTAAGCCTTTGAAAAAAGTTATTTAAATGAACCAGTTGTATGGTAGCCTGAGATGGACTGAACAGTCATACAGTCAGTTAGCTCTTCTCATTAGGAAAGCAGTATAGCTGAAAGGGATTAGCTTCCTAAATCTCAAGGCAAAAATCAAGCAAATTACCTTATAACATCCTTAGTGATGTTTTAATTAACCTATCAGCTTTTGTCCTGGAACAGATCAGAAGCACTCACATGGTCGTTTACAGCTGTGACACATTAAATAGCTTCTTAGCTATTTATTACCGACTCTAACTATGTGGACAGGCTCAGCTCAATATGGATAAAAGATCTGCATAGTAGCATGCATGCTTTACATAATGTCAGCTCTATGTGAAAGTGCAAACACACAACAGAGCAGACGCTGGCAGAATAAACACTTTTCGGGAGTGAGCGGGAGGGAGACTGCCAGGTTCCACGGGCAGAAGGAGAAGGTCAGGGTTCATCATTCCTGAGGACTAAGGTCTATTCAAGGTATTAAGATGTTTGTTTGCTGTGATCAAGCAATAAGAAAACTGCCAGGAATAATTTATTTAACATATTTCAATGAATGCAGGAAAAAAGTTGTACTAAGAAATCAAAATACATACGACTTCTTGAGTTTAAGTAAGCAAGAAATCCTAATATAATGTTCTTTTTCCAAGGAAACTTATGTTATTTTACAACTTACCAACCTTTCACACAATAGTATTTAAAAGGACGAGAGCAACACAGAACATGGATTTTTATAGCAAGAGGCCAATCCAGGGATGTATAAAACAGAATGTGTAAAGGGAATGTGTCTCCTTTAAGAGTGATTATTAAAAGCTTCTAGTTTAAACTGTTTTACTGGTAAAAATTTACTGCAGAAAGAGGAGTCTTCCTAGGTAAGGGTGGTTTAAATTAAAGGGGAAATAAACACAAGGCATATCTGTGCAATATTTCTTGCCAATGCACTTACATTACTTCTAGCCCATTTCCCATTGGACAAATGAGAGCTGAATGCATAGATGCTAATGAAAAGCCATAAGAAAAACTGATTTAAAGCTTCTGGAACTCTGTAGAAGAATAATGAATTGGGAAGAAATATTCCCATATTTCCAATAAATGTATGATGAAAACTAGTTTACAGAATGAAAAGGTAGGGGTTTTTTTTTGTGTGTGTAAAAAACATTTAACATTTAAAAATGGACATCCAGACAGAACAAAACCCAAGTGGATCAACTTTGCCCAAATAACCATCTCCAATGAATTAATTTTCTTTATTGGTCTTGGCACTGCCATCATCTCATCTTGTTACTCAGACTGACTGATGAGTGCTTTTGGGATGATGGCTCTTTCTGCAGTCAGTTCCCATTGGTAAAGCAGTTCTCATTCACTCTACATAGCTAGACTGCTGTTATTGTTGATTCTTCGTATTTATCATTATTAAATCATCTGTCTGTAACTTTGTTTTGTTGCTACTGCAAGCACCTTTCTAGGTTTTACAGCTCCCATTTGACTCCTTTTCAACACACCATTTCTTGACTGTCATTTATATTATAAAACATCTATTTGAATCTCTATATTGGCTTTTTTTTTTTTATTATTATTTTGGCCTCTGTTTCAGGCATCTCATCGTTGTTCAGTGGAGTACGACTTGTCTTACTTTTTTTCCTATATTATCCATGAATCTTCACTTCCTTAATGAATTCTGTAAATCTCTTGATAAACTTCTCAGTTTTTTAATTTCCTTTCTGTCCTTCTCACTGTAAGCAACTTTCCATCTTAGTTTGCAAACTATCTACTTTTTGATAAAACATAATACATTAACTTGTCTGCTTTTACAATTCATCACCTATTTGTACTGGATCTAGCTGGGACGGAGTTCATAATCTTCGTAATAGCCAATATGGTGCTGTGTTTTAGATGTGTGACCAAAACAATGCTGATAATGCACTAATGTTTTAGCTATTGCTGAATAATGTTTGCACACTGTCAAGGCCACCTCTGTTTCTCACTCTACCCCACCAGTGAATAGATTAGGGGTGCGCATGAGATTAGGAGGGGACACAAGCAGGCAGGTGACCCAAACTAACCAAAGAGATATTCCATGCCATATAATGTTAAGCTCAGCAGTAAAATGGAGAGGAGGAGGGCTTTAGGTAGGTTAGCTATCCTCTGCTTGGGAACTGGCTAAGCATCGATCTACCCATGGGAGATGATGAGTGATTGCAATTTGTCTTGTTTTGTTTTCTTTCTTTGTTCCTCCAGTTTTCCTTTGGTTATTAAACTATTTTTATCTCAACCCATGATTTTTCTCACTTTTACTCTTCCTTTTCTCTTCCCCTGTCCCACTGTGGGTGGAAGGGGAAGTGAGTGAGCAGCTGTGTGGCACTTAGCTGCCTACTGGGGTTAAACCAGGACACTATTTCACAATATTATTTTAGCTATTTATAATTTTGTAAACTTCAACTGTTTCTTCTAAAATTTTCCATACTGAATGGTGCCTGAAACAGATTTTTATTTTTCTAAACAGACCAGATAGTTTCCCAAACTGAAGAGAACACATTCCTATCTCTTATGCTTCTATTAACCCTGCTTTGCAGGTCATGACATTTGGCAGTGGGCTGGCACCATGTCTATCCATTTGTCATCTTTCTGAAAATCCACTAAGGCAAGATGTTAAAATCTTGAAAACATGAAAGTCTGCAGAAACTGGAGGGCTAGATCCCCAAATTCTTTGTCCATGCTGGCTATATTTCTACACACAGATGATTAGCACCTTCCCTCCAGCTGTACTTTTGGGCTGCAGTAGTACTTGCTGGTACAGTAGCCTGCCAATCCATTCAAAGAGAAGGTATTGCCTTAGCTAGATCAAGGTTATATGGACAGAGAAATAAACTGTGTGGTTCTCATTCGTAAGATGCAAAAATAAGACCTACAGATAAAGAAGAGAAACAGGTAGGACTGGGCAAGAAATAGAATAAAACAAGAATCAGAGTAATGGATGGTAGTGGATTGTAAGGAAAACAGGACTAGAAACTGAGTCAAGGGGGAGACTGAGAAAGATAAAATAGAGAAGAGGAAAAGTGAATCAGTAGGTTAATGTAGATTATATCTGTAAGCAATTTTTGAGAAAAGATGATCAGACCTAGCTGGCTTAGAAAAAAATGGAGGGAAGGGCAGAAAGAAACCAAAGAGAGAGACTGAAAGAAGCACAGGAAACATGACAGGAGACAGCTTTAATAGGTAACAAAAGTACGAAAAGGCAACATGCAACGAGTGGGTGAAAAGAAGGAAAAGAACTTAAAAAGGGCAGGAAATGTCACAAAGATCCTAGGAAGGTAAAACAGTAAGAACTGAAAACAGGGATGGCTGGAAACAGAAGTTAGAAAAATAAGAATAGGTTGGAAAGGAGGAAGAGATTAAAGTATAATGTGTAAAAGATCCTGTGCTACAACATACTCCTTTCTAGAACCTGAAATAGAAATGAAATAATATCTAATTTGTACAGTGATCACTAGATGCACAAACATATATACAAATGTGGAAATGTATACAAGGCTTCCAACATATGCACTTCCCTCAAGGGCAAAAGACTTCATTACAGTTGATCTTAGTACCATTACATGACAATTTTCAAATATCTCCTAGAAACTCACCATCGTGCTTATTTGAAATGAAAGGGACGTTCATAATATTAATATTGATATTAATATTAATAATAATAATATAAAAATGTGTCACCCTGTAACACTTCACTACATTTCCCATCCCTTTCTTCATGGCGTCTGCATTCTCCACTTGTCACATAATTCAAAAGAGCTGATCAACTATGCAGGGGAGATGCTTCTAATTTTTCCGTAACACTAACAAATTGTGTACTGGGACTCTTTGTTAATTGGTTACTTTGTTATTAATCCCTTCTACATTTACGGTTTTTAATTTTACCTGTCTGAGTATTGTTTTCCAATCTTTTTGTAGAAAACTAAAATGGACAAGTGTGAATTACCAGTATTTATTATATTCCAGCAATACTGGAGAAACTGTTAAATTAATGAGATGGAAATATATGTTTTGAATGGGAAGAAGTATTCTCAACAGATTAAGCAAGTGGGAGTGAAAATAACTTGAAATTACATATGATCCTGATTCCCATTGCTTCCTATTCTCAGACAACTGTACCTATCAAAATAAAAATCAACAGAAATAAACTCCTAACAAAACAATCTAAATTTCTTCTTTAGCACTATCACCGATAGAAAGGAAAAGTAATCTCATTTGGAATTGCAGTCATTGAGAAAAGTGAATGTTTCATGAAATTTTAACTTTGTGTTAAATACTTAAATCTCCCATAAAGTCAAATCCTATTTTTAATATATGAAAATGTATACAATTAAACTATATATACTATTTCCACATGTTAAACCATTTCATGGAATTGTAAAAAAAACCTTATGAAATACATTGCATTAGAAAATAAAAGCAACCTTAAGATGCTTATTGTAAAAGGTTATGTTTTTACTAAACAACTTTATACTGTATTTTATAGGAATGATTTTTTTTCTGTGGAATGCTTTTAGTAATTTACTAAAACCATAGTTTCCTTGATGTTATTACCTAGCAAAGTTTAGCATTGTTTCCCTGCTATATAAACTTAAGCTTTTGATTTTATATTGCCATTTGTTTGCAATAATTTCTAGAAATCATTTCTTTTCAATGAAATGTCCTTAATAGAATGCGGAACAATGTCAGCTGCTACAAACTCCAGCAAGTAAATATACACTAGATATAATTTTACAACACAAAAGGTGTAAATACTGCAATAAGAAAATTCAATAAAAACTCATTTAACACTTCCCCTTTACTTCTGAAAGTATTTGTAGCAACAATAGGGCAATCAAGGCCAAGAAGCGATGCCTGTTGTCTTTTTGCTTACTCTTGCAATGTCTTTCTGCTTATTCTTGAGAAGTTACATAAAACCTCCCTGGAAATTCAGGTGGTAATTTTTTCACAGAACCAGTGAAATTTGAACTTAAAAAAACCTGAAAAATTACAGTCCAGAAGCAGATGTGGATTCTTTCTCTTAATGACTTTGGAAGCAAAACCCATTTCTTTTTCAAGGGTAGTGCCTTTTTTCAGAAACAAGTTTTTAGCTTTCTCTTCACTTGCCAGGGAAAAGTCCCACATTATATGACTGCCTAACACAGAATCACAGAATTGATTTGGTTGGAAGACACCTCTGGGATCACTGAGTCCAACCTTTGCCCTAACACCACCATGTCAACTAGACCATGGCACTAAGTGCCATGTCCAGTCTTTTCTTAAAGACCTCCAGGGCTGGTGACTGCACCACCTCCCTGGGCAGCCCATTCCAATGCCTAACAACCCCTTCTGTGAAGAAATGCCTCCTAATTTCTAGACTGAACTTCCCCTGGTGCAGTTTCAGACTATGCCCTCTTGTCCTGTCACTGGTTGCCTGGGAGAAGAGGCCGAGCCCTCTGTCGCTACAACCTCCTTTCAGGTAGTTGTAAAGAGTGATAGGTCTCTCCTGAGCCTCCTCTTCTCCAGGTTAAACAACCCCAGCTCCCTCAGCCGCTCCTCATAAGACTTATCCTCAAGTCCCTTCACCAGCTTCGTTTCCCTTCTCTGGACAAGCTCCAGCACCTCAATGTCTTTCTTGTAGTGTGGGGCCCAGAACTGGACACAGTACTCGAGGTGCATCCTCAGCAGTGCTGAGTACAGGGGGATGATCACTTCCCTAGTCCTGCTGGCCACACTGTTCCTGAGACAAGCCAGGATGACATTGGCCTTCTCGGCTACTTGGGCACACTGCTGCCTTATGTTCAGTCAGCTGTCAATCAGCACCCCCAGGTCTTTTTCCACTTGACTACTTTCTAACCACTTTTCCCCCAGCCTGTAATGCTGTATAGGGCTTTTGTGGCTGAAGTGTAAGACCTGGCGTTTGTTCTTGTTGAACCTCATACTGTTGGTTTCAGCCCATCTATCTAGCCTGTCCAGGTCCCTCTGGAGAGCCTTCCTACCCTCCAGGAGATCGACATTCCCACCCAACTTGGTGTCATCTGCAAATTTACTGTGGGTGCACTCTATCCCCTCCTCCAGGTCACCTATAAGATGTTGAACAGCACCGGCCCCAAAACTGAGCCCTGGGGAACACCACTAGTGACCGGCTGCCAACTGGATTTACCTCCATTGACCACAACTCTTTGGGCCCCGCCATCCAGCCGGTTTTTTACCCATTGAAGAGTCCACCTGTCTAAGCTGCAAACAGCCAATTTATTTAGGAGGATGCTATAGAAGACTGTGTCAAAGGCCTTACTAAACTCTAGGCAGACAACATCCACAGCCTTTTCCTCATCTACCAAGTGGGTCACCTTGTCATAAAAGGAAACCAGATTGGTCAAGCATGATCTTCCTTTCATAAATCCATGTTGGCTGGTTAGAAGAGAAGAGAAACTTCCATTTAATTTCTGCTTACACAGTATAGTTCTGCACTGTACCCTGCACACTAGGAAATTATTTTGCAGTAACGTTGTGGAAAAAACTCCACTTCCACATGTGAGCTTTACAAAAATGTATAAATATTCTGCTGAAAGCTAACTCTTACTCAGTTTTAATGGATCAAATATTATATTATCTTTCTGACATATCTGCATTAGAGTTGTTTTTGAAGGCAAATCATGTCTTTTGGCAATAGGTTTTAAATGTCTGATAACACATTAATTTGCATATATTTCTTTTAACCATCTATTTAAAAATGTGACTTTGATATAAGGAATTAATACATGTTTTGTTTCAGTTAGAAATTTGTTTCATCTGGGTTTACCTATAAATAGCAGAGGCTGGATAAGATCCTGTGTCATAACTGACCCTCACTCTACCCCGGTACAGCTCTACCGCTATATGATCTTTATCGCCTTTGTAGAGCAGGATCCCACTGTCTTCATCTGTGGCAATCTAGTTAAAAGAAAGAAACACTTAGAAAGAACTAAAAATAAACATTAAATCAAAATGCTCTATTAAGTGCATCTCTGAATTTACTGCCATAGTCTATTACTTCACTATAAAATTCATCCATGAAGGACAACCTGACAAAATTATTTCTCTTCCTATCAATAAGTCCATCTACTTCAGTATAAATGTAGAATTATTCCAATGACTCTTCTAGATTTTTAGCTCAAACTGTGAAAACCTCTTTAAGTGAGCCAATGACAACTGTGGCTAATTTTCTGCACCTTGAAAAGTCATTTCCAGATCAGACTCTGCAACACAAGCAATCTTACCTGTAGAGTGATATTGGTTTGGGGGCGTATCTTAGCTGAAGGGATTTGTAGATAGGATTCTTTGTTGACGAAGTTTATACTGATCAGCTTTTCACATTTCTCACCCTGGTAGCCCGATAAACACTGACAGATTGGTTCACTCTCTTTTATGATACACTGGGCTCCATTTTGACATTCATGATTATCACAAGGGCTGGTGCGAGGTAGAACCATTGGTGGTGAAAACTCACAAAACAAGCCACTAAATACAAACAGAAAAAATTAGTACTTACAAAAAAAGGCAACTTTGTCAGAAGACATACATGTTTGTACTGTCTTCAGCTCTTTCTCACCTGTATCCTTCTGGGCAAATACATGTATAGCCATTAACCGCATCAGTACACTGCGCTCCATTTTTACATTTGTTGTCTTGGCAGTCATCAAAGTCAATATCACAGTGCTCACCTACATATCCAGGTGTGCAATCACATCTGTGAAACAAGAAAGCAAGTGGGATAGCACAGTGCCTTTCAGCAATACAGTGTGCTTATGACAAAATTAAGCAACTACTGAATTGTTTAAAACTCAGGAAAAAAAATGCATTACTGTGACTTTGTGTGTAAAGACTATGTAGCTTAATCATGTTATTTTATGGGGAATCTACATATGTAATGAATACAGGTTTGCTAGTTACACATGCTTACTCATCTGCCATTATATTGAAGAACTGTGGTTTAAATCTAGAGACCTGTAATGAATAATTTGGACAGTTCTTCTTGCAATTTATGAGTAATGCAGAATGTTACAGGATGTTGTAAGTGGCTGCGAACCCTAAAAATAATCAATATGCTTAGTTGCTGGAACTGAGACAAATAATCCAAGACGTCTGTTATACAGATGGATATTTTCTTTGTCAACTGAACCTCTATGAATGGACCAATGGTCCATTTATAGAGTCTAGAGGTTATGCATAATTTTTTTCCCTTTGAAGTTCCACCAGTCTGATTTACTATAAATAGCTCCACGGTTAGTGAACTAACAGAAGTCTCAAAACACATCCTCTGCCCTCTCTGAGCCTCCACTGAACTAGAAACAGTGTATCCTCAAGACAGTATTCAATGTGGGGTTTTTTTGTTTCATTTTGTTTTGTTTTGTTTTGTTTTTTTCCCCCCATGCAACTGTCATTGTCAATGCTAGTGGCATTTCCTCAGGGAATTCTGATCTATTAGACTGAGTGAATGTCCAGAGCTCGTGTGAAAAATGAATGGAAAAGATTACAAATTCATGCATCCACATTATTTATTTATTTTTTAAATTAAGACATATGTAATTGATTTCATTAGATCTTGTGATTCCCTCCTTGGTGGCCTTTCTTTTAGTATCTAAAATTTGCTCTGAAGTGGCAGGAGTGATTTTTAAATAGCTGTGTAACTTTAAATTAAGTACTTCAATCAAATATGTCTCATTTTTTATTCCATAACATATAGGAATGAGGAAAGTGAAAAAAGAATGTAAAGTCTGCTATTAAAAAGCTGACTAAGTGAGATAGATACATTCTTGAAGTTACTGCATATGCTATTTTCTGATTTAAAATCTCAGAAAGTAACATGGAAGATTAATAAACTAGGCAGTAAAGTATAAGATGCCATACTAGGTTTACTGAAGTGGCATAAAGAAAATAAACTTAACACACAACAATTGAAATCCAACAAGTTTTATGATTTCCAGTTAAAAACTATCAACTTAATTTAATGTCCATTTGAATATTTAATATATTTGAATGGTTTTTTTGTCATTTCATAAGTAGTAGGAATGATAATAAATAATCTGATTTTAGCACAAGAAAATACTGGGCATAAAACAGGCGCTTAAGACAACAATTGAAAGTTGCAAGTTTCCTGCATTTATTAACCTAAAGCCTATTAAAAACACTTTAAATTGTGCATACTAATTAATTATGATAAGGATATGGTGTAATTAAAGATTAGTTTTCCTGGGAATGGACTTTTTTAGTTTATACCTTCCAGTGTGCCTTCCTAATAATCTCTTTCACAATTACTTCTCAGAAAGAAGTACAATTATTTCACTTCAATTAAATGCAATTATTTTCCTACTGTCCAAGCTACTAAAAGGGTTTTGTATAAACCATCGCATAGACTAACCACTCTACTCTGCATTCGTATTTTAAATCTGACTGGTATTAGAACTATTAAAGATCAGTAAAATTCAGTAAAACATATTTAAGATAATGAGGTAGATCTACATGAAAATAATAGCTATTCTGCCATAATGCTTGATAATAACTGAAATTAGTATTTTGAGAATAGAACTTGCTTCCACTAAAACAAAAGGAAAAGAAGTTAAGCAGGATAAAAAATTAGAAATTTAGATTCAATTGGACTGTGACAATATTTTTGACTTACTTGTATCCTTTGGGTGTCAAGATACACTTTGAGTCATGCTGACAAGGATTCAGGTTTTGAGCACAGAAATCTAGTTTCTCCTCACAGAGCTCACCTGAAATACAATGTATGCTGTCAATTCAGTGAAAATACTACAGTGACCTGAAAAGAGCTCTTTCTATTCTAAAAGTAACTGCTACCATTTTTTTTGTTAAAACTGAAAAATGCATACTTCGTGATATAAAAATAAATACAACCTTTATAATAAATACTAATAAAGAAATATTAATACATAAATAATAACAGTAAATATTAATCTTTCTGATAATTCCTTTTTTAAAAAAATTAGTTCAATGTCAATCATCTATCCACGGATAATTTTGTGAAAAAAATGTTTAGTTTACAATATTTATCTAGCTCTGCTGTGTAGCAAAACACTAGTGATTCAATGTCTTCTCACTAGAACAAACAAGCCACCAATATGCTTTTCTCTTACTTATTTCTAAGCACATTACACACAAAAATACCCAGTTTTGCACTATAGTAATCTATTACCTGAAAAAACCCTGTTAATATCACTGCATGTCATGCAATTCCAATTATGAAAACTTGCTTTCCACTTTTCCTTAAATATGACTCTCCAATTTTTGCATATGTTAATGTACCATAATTATCTATAATGTGTTCTGCAAAAATAAAATAAAAAAAAAATCTACATCAAATGTCTACCCTTCCCTGCTGCCAGAAGCGGAAATTCCCCTAATTTCTAACATGGGCTGAATAATCTATAAAATACTTTAATATGGTTAAACTATAATTTTATTTGCAACTTTGTGACAAGGAAACACTTACAGGTGTGTAAAAAGATCAACAATGTTTTGTTCCCTGACTAACTACTCAGAAGATACCATGAACAGTGCACTCACAAAGTTTATCACTGGTTTGTTATACTTATTCCAGCATCCATATGAAGAATATATGTATAATCAACAGGTATAAACCCTGTGCCTGACGAATTCAGGGACTCACAGGTCTGCCGGGCCCTAAAACTACAGAAGGAGTAGGGTTGCCCCTTGTCATTTGTCAAGTAATAACACAAGCTAGTGAGCAAAGAAAATAAAACTGTACACCAAAATGAGGAAGAAAAGAGCAGAAGATAGCAGTGGATGAGCAGATACTTTCACTGGTTATGCTGAACTTTTCTTCAAAGAGGCACAATATTTGGTATCCCTCAGTTTTACTTATCTGAGTGTGGTAGTGGCCTGCAGTGTAGTTAGCTGAAGAATCAGTATCTGCTGGAGGGCAGCCTGAGATTAAAATAGCATATAATGGCTTCATCTCTTTCCCGTAACTGTTAACACAGTAGTGAGGATGACGACAGCACCATCATGAATACAGTATGAGGAAAGAAGGACAGACCATTTAGGAACAAGTAGATTGGAAAAAGGGAGAAAGGTATAGGATAAAAACATTGGAATGGAGATTTTGGAGAGAGGATATGAATGAAGACATCTTCCAGAACACATATGTGTGTGTGTGTGTGTGTGTGTGTATCAGTTCATCAGCTACTACTGTCATTAAGCGATAAGGTTTCTGACATTTTACACTACTCCTTGCCAAGTACCTAGCACAACACAGAAGCTCTCTTCTTGCTTACATGGGCTTCTCTGGAATTACAGAAGTACACATCACAATAAACTGAAATCAACAGTAGGTGATTAAAGGTCTATTTGTCATCTTTGGTTCTTTTTTTTTTTTTAGAGGTTCAACAGATCCTCCAGAGAAATTTGTCCTTTCCACAGCAAGTGTGCTTACACACAAGTGTTGAAAACTCCCTATTGTAAATATGAATACTGACTACCCAGGACTAGAGACATTATTTCAAGGACTTATCTCTTAGGGTATGTAGAACTTACTTCAAACAACGGACAAATAAACAAAAACTTAAAAAGAGTTGAGGAACAGTCTACATTAATGCAAGGATAGCGAAAAAGGCAAAACTGAACCACAGCCAAAGATGGTTATGCTGGATGAAAACACATCTGAAACATGTATGCTAAGTGTGGTAAGACATGGGACGTCTACATCTTCAAAAATGAGAGGAGAAGCCAAAACCAGCTAGACAAGTACTTCACAGCCATCCAAAAGATCCAGACTGGTTCTACACAAAGATTTTTTAAAAAAATAAAATAAAAAATTTGATAGCAGCTTACCAATTTGCTAGTGCATTT